GGGGACAGCCCCACGTCAGGGACACCAGGGACCCCAAAATGGGCCCCGGGTTTGGGGACAGCGCCCAGGAGGGCTGGGGACACGCGGGCAGTGGCGGCACTCACGGATGATCCAGCGCTCCATCACCTCCAGGGACAGGTACTCACAGGCCATCTGGGGACAGCAGTGCCACCACGTCACTGTCCCCTGAGCCTGTGTCCCCGTGTCACCATACCCCTGTCTCTGTGTCACTCACACCGTCACTTGTGGCCGGGCTCAGCCTGTCCCCATGTCCCCATGTCCCCATGTCCCCATGTCCCCATGTTCCTGTCCCCACTCACACTGTCGCAGGTGGTGACTCACGGATGATCCAGCGCTCCATCACCTCCAGGGACAGGTACTCACAGGCCATCTGGGGACAGCAGTGCCACCACGTCACTGTCCCCTGAGCCTGTGTCCCCGTGTCACCATACCCCTGTCTCTGTGTCACTCACACCGTCACTTGTGGCCGGGCTCAGCCTGTCCCCATGTCCCCATGTCCCCATGTCCCCGTGTCCCCATGTCCCCATGTCCCCGTGTCCCCATGTCCCCATGTCCCCGTGTCACTCACGCTGTCGCAGGTGGCCGGGCTCAGCATGTCCCCCGCGGGTCCCAGCAGGCTCAGGAGCTGCTCCTGCCGCCACAGCTCCGCGTCCCGGCAGCGCCGCGCGAACGGGGCCCGCAGGGACAGCAGCGCGCCGCTCACGGCCTGGGGACAGCACCACGCTGGGGACACCGGCCCGGCCACGCGGGGTGGCCCTGCCGGGGACCGGGACCCCCGACCCACCTTGGTGTGGGGCCCGAACTCCTCGGGCAGCTTCTTCAGGGGGTGCTCGTACTCCAGCACCATCTGCGCCAGGCGGGCGAAGCCGGGCTCGCTGTGGGGACACGGCGTTGGGGACACGGCACTGGGGACACGTTGGGGACAGCCCTGGGGCTGGTCCCAGCATTGGGGACACGCTGGGGACACGTTGGGGACAGCCTCAGGGCCGGTTCTGGCACTGGGCCACACGTTAGGGACAACCCCAAGATGACCCCAGCGAGGCCACAGCCTTGGGGACACATTGGGGACAACCCCGGGCAGGGCCAGCGCGGGTACAACCCCACCGACACAGCGCTGGGGACAGCCCCCATGGGGACACAGCCCTGGGGACAGCCTGGGGACAGCAGGGCTGGCCCTGGGGACAGCAGGGTGGCACCTGGCGCCGTGGCTCATCTCGTGCGCGCAGTGGTAGAGCCCCAGCAGCAGGCGCCGCTCCTCGGCGCGCGCCAGCAGCAGCACCAGCGACACGTAGGTGACAACCAGGTCCAGGTAGCCCTTGGTGAAGTCGTAGTTGATGTGCTGGCGGGGAGGGGACAGCGTGAGGGCGCGGCGACAGCGGGGACAGCGCGGGGCGGCGCGGGGGTGGCACTCACGATGTCGAAGAAGCACCGGCTGGCGTCGATGGTGTTGAGCAGCTCGTACACGTGGTCCTGGGGACACGGGGACAGCACTGCGTGTCACCGCTGTGTCCCCGGCTTGGAGGGACCCTCCTGTCCCCTGTGTCCCCCCTGTCCCCTCCCGGCTCACCCGGAACTCCAGGACGTCCAGGAAGGTTTGGTAGAACGGAGCCAGCGCCCGCACAATGTCCCCTCTGTCCCTGTGCACCGGGCCCAGGTGCTGCTGCAGGGGACACGGGGACAGCGGCGTGGGTGGCACGGGGGGGACAGCAGGGAGGGGTGAGGAAAGGGGACATCCAGGGTGAGGTGACAGAGGGGACACACAGGGTGGGGTGGCACAACCCACACAGGGTGGGGACACAGGGGTGGGGACACGGGGGTGGGGACACAAGCGTGGGGACAGGGAGGACACAGGGGTGGGTACAGGGGGGACATGGGGACAGTGGGAACAGGGGGACAGCAGGGACACAGGGGTGGGGACAGGGGGATGGGGACACAAGTGTGGGGACAGCGGGGACACGGGGGTGGGGACACGGTGACAATGGGGACACAGGGACAGTGGGGACATGGGGTGGGTACAAGGGGGTGAGGACAGAGGAGTGGGGACAGAGGGGTGGGGACTCAGGGGGTGGGGACAGCAGGGACACGGGGAAAATGGGGACACGGGGACAGCGGGGACACAGGGAAAATGGGGACCCAAAATCCCCCCTAAATCCCCTCCTGGGCTGTGCCCCCTCCCCAAATTCCCCCATCCCTCGCTCCCTCGGCTGCTCCCCATGACCAGGATGGTTGGGGACCCCCGGGTGTCCCCAGGGTGTCCCCCAGGACCCCCCCCCCAGACCTTTTTGAGGTTGTAGACGCGCACGAGGACCCCCCGGCCCCGCTCGTTGAGCAGCGTCAGCTTCTCGGCCAGTTTGTCCCCGTACACCGAGGGCAGGGACATGGTGGCACCTCGGTGGCACCTCGGTGGCACCCCCAGAGTCCCCAAAAGGCCCCAAACCCCAACTTCCCCTTCCTGGGCTGGGCCCGGCAGCGCTGGGGCCGCGGGGAACACGTGACGGGCCTGCCACCGCCCCGTGACACCGCGGGGACAACACGGGTGGGGACAACGCCGATGGGGGACACCAATGGTGGTGGCCGATGCCACCATCAGCCCCAGCTCGGGCCCCTGTTTTGGGGTCACGGCCCTCTGTGGGTGTCATGGCCCTATATGGAACCAACTCAGGCCCGTGGAACCCAAATTCACTCCGGTTTGTTCCCCTTTTTGGTTCTATTTGTCCCCAAACGGGTCCCATTTGTCCCCAGTCAGGGGACCCCAATCTTGGCTCATTGACCCCAATCTGAGCCTGTTTAACCCCAATCGGGGCGGCCCCATTTACCCCAATCAGGGCCCATTTTAGTCCAATCAAGGCTCATTTATTCCCAATCAGGGCCCATTTACCCCAATTTTTCCCCTGTTGCCATTGATGCCTTAATTTTGAACTTTTACATTTTTTGTGGTTAACCAAAACAATCCTTTTTTGTCCCAAAATCCAAGGACACCGAAACAGCCTCAACCCCAAAAGCTGTAAGCAACAGTGAATAAAAAAATCACCCAGGAGGATAAAACTTCATAGCCCAAAACTTTAATTATACAGTTAACCCCAATATGCAAATGAACCAAAACTTCTAAAAGCGTGAAAATACAAAAATATAATTTTTTTTAGTCCATTTTGGGTCCAGTTTGGGTTTAGCCCCGGCCAGGCTCTTGTACTTTAAGATTTTTTGATTAAGCATTTTAAGTAATTTTTAATTTATTTTAGGAATAAAACTTTTAATTTTTAATAAATTCCTAATTTATTTTCCAGCTCCTGCCCGACGTCGCCATGGAGACGGCGCCGCGGCGTCCCCCAGCGGCTCGGAGGACCCGGAAGCAGCGCCCGTTGCCGCGGTAACGGCGAGGTTGCCGTAAAGCAGAACCGGCGCTGTTGGGACAGCAACGAGACAGAACCGGCACCGGTGGGACCGGAACGGGACGGAACCGACCCTGCTGGGACCGAACCGGCACCGGCGGGATCGGACCGGGACGGAACCGACCCTGCTGGGACCGAACCGGCACCGGCGGGATCGGACCGGGACGGAACCGACCCTGCTGGGACCGAACCGGGACCGAACCGGGACTGGTGGGACTGGACGAGGACAGAACCGGGACCGAATCGTGACCGGATCGGGACCGAGCCGGGACCGCTGAAACCCAACCGGGACCGAACCGGGACCGCTGGGACCAAACTGCGGCTGGTGAGACCGAACCGGGACCGAACGGTGCCCGGAGGGACATAACCGGTACCGAACCGGCCCCGGCGGTACCGAACCGTGCCCGGTACCGTCGGGCCGCTCGGGTCCGCATGGAGCCCGACGCGCTCGTGCAGTGCCCGTACGACCGGAGCCACCAGGTGCGCGCGTCCCGCCTGCCCTATCACCTGGTGCGCTGCCAGCAGGTGCGCGGGGACACCGCGACAGCGGGGACACCGGTCTGCAGGGGTCTGGGGTCTGCGGGAATTGGGGTCTGCGGGAATTGGGGTCTGGGGTCTGCGGGAATTGGGGCCGGGGTCTGGGAGGGGCCGGGCTCCGAGGGCTCAGCTTTGGGCTGCAGGACGGGGCTCGGTGTCCCCCCCTGAGCCCCTCCCCCCGTGTCGCCGTCCCCAGAACAACCCGCAGGTGTCGCGCACCTTGGCCACGTGTCCCTTCAACGCGCGCCACCGCGTCCCGCGCGCGCTCCTGCGCGGCCACGTCACCTCGTGCCCCGACAAACTGCCGCTCGAGCTGCCCCCAGGTGTGCCCCCAGGTGTCCCCAGGTGTGCCCCCAGGTGTCCCCAGGTGTGCCCCCAGGTGTGCCCTCACTGCTGTCCCTAGGTGTGTGACCAGGTGTGTCCTTAGGTGCCCCCAGGTGTGCCCTCACTGCTGTCCCCAGGTGTCCCCAGGTGTGCCCTCACTGCTGCCCCCAGGTGTGCCCCCAGGTGTGCCCTCACTTCTGTCCCCAGGTGTGTGACCAGGTGTGTCCTTAGGTGTCCCCAGGTGTGCCCCCAGGTGTCCCCAGGTGTGCCCTCACTGCTGCCCCCAGGTGTGTGCCCAGGTGTGTCCTTAGGTGTCCCCAGATGTGCCCAAGTGCCCACCCAGATGTGTGCCCAGGTGTGCCCAGGTGTGCCCCTTGCTGTGCCCAGGTGTGTCCCCTCACCGCTGTCCCCTGTGTCCCCGCAGACCCCGAGGACAAGGCCAGGACAGGCGGGGGACCCCCCCAGGCCTGGCAGCCCCCCCCGTGCCAGGAGGACTGGGACGCAGGTGAGGCTCCCGCGGTGTCCCCAGGGGCTGGCACCGTGTCCCCACGGTGTCCCACGGTGTCCCCACGGTGTCCCACGGTGTCCCCTGTCCCCCGTGCAGAGCTGAGCGAGCTGGAGCTGGAGGAGCCCCCCCCGTTCATCCTCCACGTCACCAAGGGGGACCTGCCTGTCCCCTGCCTCAGGTAGGACCTGGGGACAGGGGTGGCACTCGGGGCTGGGAGTGTCCCCAGGTGTCACACTCGGGTGTGGGAGTGTCCCCAGGTGTCACAGCTGTGTCTGTGTGTCCCTAGGTGCCACACTGGGGTGTGTGACTGTCCCCAAGTGCCACACTCGGGTGTGTGAATGTCCCCAAGTGCCACACTCAAGGGTGGGAGTGTCCCTAGGTGTCACACTCAAGGGTGGGAGTGTCCCCAAGTGCCACACTCAAGGGTGGGAGTGTTCCCAAGTGCCACACTCGGGTGTGGGAGTGTCCCCAGGTGCCACACTCAGCTGTGTGAATATCCCCAAGTGCCACACTCAAGGGTGGGAGTGTCCCTAGGTGCCACACTCAAAGGTGGGAGTGTCCCTAGGTGCCACACTCGGGTGTGGGAGTGTCCCCAAGTGCCACACTCAGCTGTCCCCCCCAGGACCCCCGAACTGACCCCCGCCCCCTCTGTCCCCAGCTCCGACCCCGCCGTCCCCCCGGAGGGGCTGGCACCGAGGAAGCCGCGGCCGGCGACAGCAGCGCCGCGTTTGGGGACAGCCGGGCCCTGCTCGGGGACAGCGCAGCCCCGGCCGAGGACGGCGGGCAGGGCCCGGGGGGTCCCGGGGGGTCCCGGGGGGGCGCTCGGGGCCGGGCGGGCCCCCCCGGCTGTCAAATATTTCCAGAAATAAAAATCGCTGTCCCCGAGGCGCTGGGGGGCGACAGGCGACACTGGGGGTGGGGACACTGCGGGTGGGGACAGTGCCACCCCCGTGGCGGGGGAATGCGGGGTCCGTCCGTGTCCCCCCCCCCGCGCTGGTCACTCCGGGCTGGTCGTGTCACACCCCCGGTGTCCCCTGCCACCCCCTGCTCTGTGTCCCGGTCACCCCCAGTCCTGTCC